TTAGGGCATCGCAAGTGATGGGAAGCTCCGCTTCGCATCTGTGTATAATGGTTATGTATCAAATATGTAACAATTACAAAAATAATGCAAATTAATTGTTATGATGTAACTTTCTGGCTTGCCTATATACTCATTTTACGCATATACGCATTTTCGGTTGAATTATACTTCGGCTGGTTTTTTTTACTCAATTTTACGCTTAGAAAAAGTGCTCAATTTCACTATCTGTGTACTGTTCTTGTCTTACATCCGCATGTTTCATATTCTTTATTTGTAGCTGGTGTATAGCATATAGTAAGGGCATAAAGTGCAATTGCGGAAATCTCGGACCCTAAATCTGAGAGTTGATCAAAAATTCGATTAACTTAGGCTGCAAAAAAATTTTTTAATGGCTTGTTTAATTGAAATTTCATTTTCTTGCAATTTCAAAGATCCTTTTTGCCATTTTTTGCTTGTATTTTTGCTTCACCTCTGTGTTGAGTGTCAATTTTTTCCGGTGCTCTGATAGCTGGATAAAGCTGTATCAGAAACTTTAAATTCAAATTTCTTGTGGAGCCGTAAATGGTCATTTTTGATTTTTGGGCTTTTTTGGGACCACTGAAAGTGCTCAAGAATTTTTTTTTCATTTTTGGTTGAGTTTTTTTAATGAAGTTACAGCGAATAATGTGTCGAACGACAGATTTTACTAAAGTTATTTCAGTCTTTATTTTTAAAGGACAGTTAAAAACTTCCAATTCTCCCTTATTATCTAGACAGCTAAAAGTCGCATAAAAGCACAATATTAAAAAGTTTCTGTTTAAGCCATAAAAAATTTGTTAGAAACTTTTTTAGCCTTTCATTTGCAAAAAAATCTTAAAAGTCAAGAAAAAGAAAGTTAAGTTTGTTTTTCATTTTTTTTTGTTGAAGAAAGCTGTTTGGCGAGGATGTCAAGTTTAGTTAGTATTACACTGCGCTGCGCTTGTATAATAAAATAAGGAATGCACTTTTCTCCAAAATGAATCGCTCATTTTTTTGGTGACACTTTTACAGCAAGTTTGGTGGCTCTTTTACTGCATTATTTGGTGACACTTTTTTCCAGCAAATTCGAAAAGTTTCTCTAAAATATAGTTTAAGAATGTCGTGAAAATCCGTCACTTTTTCGCGAAAAACTGTTTTTGCTAAATTCCAAAAGTTTTCCAATATTTTAGTTTAAAAATGTCTCAAAAATTAGTTTACAAAATAATTTCTAAGTTATTTTCAAATAAACTGCGTTTATCAAGCAAAAACTAGCCACCGATAAACCAGATTTAAAAAAATCATATGCAGCAAGAGTAAGACAGATAAAATGGCCTATTCTTGCTGCATATGATAATTTTTTTATATCTGGTTTATTGGTGGCTAGTTTTTGCTTGATAAAAGCACTTTATTTGAAAATATCTGAGAAATTATTTTTAAAACTGTTTTTGAGACATTTTTAACTATATTTTTGGAAAACTTTTTGAGTTTTGCAAAAAAAAGTTTTCGAGAACTAGTGACGGATTTTCACTAAGTAATAAAAGAAAGGCCGGCTAATAACCTGTGTACCTGTATATTCTGCTTGTCTTTTTTTGTTTTACGCGATGTTCTACGGCCTTCGAAAATTTCAGTGGGGGCGATTTTTATGGATTACATTCAATTTTCGAAAGCTACCTTGACAAATATGAAATTAAGGGTTCATCAATAAGTTTTTCCCTGCTTTAGCCGTTACGTTCTAGCTTTTGAAGGAAAATAATTATAGCTTTAGAAAATGTTCAAATTTTATAATCTTGACCGTTTTTGTAGAATCTTTGCTTTTTGTCGAAAACCTTTCTTGTAAATTAAGATTTCAATCACTATAAGCGATGTTTACACAAACAATGCTTGTGTTATAGTATGAACTATCTTTTTTCCAACCTTAGTCGCAAATATTGTTCATTTTGATCAATAACCAGCTATTAAGTACAGCCAATGCTAAGGTTTTTAACACAGACTATTATTGTTCTACAGACTATACACAGACTATGTAAAGTAACGGAAAATTTGTGCTCGGTGTGGTTTTTTTCTTCAGACGAATATCGGCTTTTTAACAAGCTATTTTTGACATTTTTTAAAATGTCATTCAGAAAGTTTTGTCTTCCTGAGCTTAAACTTGCAAAGATATTTCACCTGTGATTGTTTTTCGTAAAGTTATGGGAGTTTAAAAATTGCCAATTTGGGACAATTAACGCGCGATATATTTCGCGCTGTTAACGCATAAGAAGATATTTAATCCGTCATATAAATTGTTCCAAATTGGTTGAAGGAAGCTTATTTGCCATAATTGATTTGTTATTAGGAGCGAAATGTATCACTTTGTGCTTAATATGGCGTCTAGGGAGATGACTTTCGCAAAAATATCAATTTTAAAAAATTCATTTCATTTTCATTACCTTTATTTTTTTCTTGTTATTACTGCTCCATATACTGCTCTTTAAATTGAGGCATGTTATTTGGTTTTTTTTTTTCAAAGTGACTGGTACTGCTAATGCGTCATAATTGGCGTGAGTCACTTAAGAAATTTTGAAGACGCAAAGTTTTACTCGTTCAGTTTTTCCCTGTTGCGTTATCGGTCATATTTAGCTTCTGTATGCGAAGTGCAACTTCGACTCTGTGTAGAATTTTTCCTGGCCTGAACAGTTATAGCTTTTTTGTTAGAGAAAAGCTATAACCAGAGACATTGTCCAATTTGGAAATTTTTACCGTTATTTGGACGTTTTTTCTTTTCCTTTTCTCAAACTTTTTCTTTTTCTCAAAAACTACACTTTTGAGTCTGAGATTGAAGGTTTAATCAAAAGAACATGTTTTGTGAATTTTTTCTGCGCAAGTGGCGTTGCCCAGTGTTTATTAATGAAATAAGATATCGCCTTAGAAAATAAGTTATTGCCTTTTAAAATTTCTATTTATAACTGTTTCGGGGATTGTTCTCGAAAAGTACGCTTCCAAGTCAAAGATTAATGTGCAATCAAAAGAACATGCGCTTAGAAAACTCGTCGCATAGATAGAACGTCCCCAGTTTTTATTAAAAAAAGTAATATTGGACTCAGCAAAAGTCCATTATTTAAAAAAAAAAAATCGAAATTACTGGTGCCCAATCTGCGATTGAGAGTTCAATGGAAGGAACGAATAAAGATTTTTCATGTGCGAGTTTTCCCGTTTTGCAGATGAATTTGCTAGGTACTTTAACCTGATCTATTTTAAGACTTTGTTCAATTTCGCTTAAAACGATCCTGCCAATTCTGAAAAAAGGAAAGTAATCAAACGGATATGTTTTAATCTACCCTGCAAAAGCCTGCTTTCCATTCTTCTAATAGGATTCAGCTATGAATTTTGTAAATGTCCAATTTTGATAATTGACACATCTTGAAAATTACGCGTTCCTTTCACATCCGTAAAATTTTTCCACAACATTAGATCCAGCTGGGCACCTATTGTTTAAATATGGTTCAGCGACCATGTAACATTGTGAAAATCGGTCCAATTTTTCATATTGACACTTATAATCCGCTAAGACCTGAAAACTCAATTTTAATTTTTTTCACTGTTATTACTGTCAAAGAAAACTGTGTCCAATATGTCACGGTTACTACCTGAGATTTTTGAGATTTTTTAGAATATGGTTTTTAGAATATGCACAGCTACTGGCTATTCTTGTTTTAAATAGTCGTGTATTATTACAAATGCAGAACAAATTTTATGTTAGCCGGTTACTGTGCAATTAGCACAGAATTTTCGGACCAAATTCTTAGAAAAAAAAGTTTTTTTTTAAACTTATTGTTTTTCTTGTACGTCGGGTGATCATAGAATTATACGAACGCGTATAAATTAGGTATAAATGATTCCAAGTGTCTTCAAAAAATAAATAAACAAAAATCAAATGGGTAATTTCTATATCTAACGAACGTTACTCGATCGCTTCACTCGCTCGAAGATAGACGAAAAATTAAAATTTCGAAGCGGTTTTTTTTTACACTGGGATTTTTTTGGAAATTTTCTATATCGTTCGAATCATGATTTCACGACTGAAAGGCTTCAATATGATTTATATCTAAACCCAGTCCAATGACTATTTGGGGTACCTGATTTTGCGCGAAAACAAAAAAGTAAAAAAAAAACTAAAACACCCGAATACAAAAATCCTCCCCATCTTCAGTGTTCGGAACAAAAATTGATGGCTGCAAAAGGTTGGAATCCCTCATACGCGAAGGACCGAATGCGCGAAAATAAAAATTAGCCAATCAGATTTCTGTAATCTAAAAGTAAACATTTCCAGGGACTAGAATATTGATATTGGTCGAATATAAAAACGGCAGAAATATGCAAAAGTTCCAAATTGTCACTGACGCCGCCGAATTGGAACAAATTTTATATTTCAAAAGTTTCGTTATAAAAAAAGCGAAATATTGCTTCATTTAATTGAATTGCAATTGCTTCTTTTTAAAATTTGACTTTGGCTAATTTTATTTTCGGTCATTCGCTCACGAGTTTTTTCGCGCAATCGGTCCTTCGCGCATGAGAATAGCCCCCCTGCAAAAGAGCCTGATCTCCTTCTGATTCGGACTTGCGCCAAATTGTGTGTTAGCTTGTGAGTCATTAAGTATAGTAATTATTTATTTTCAAGTTAAGCAGGAATGTCTATGCACATTTAACAAATTTTCCTCACATTTTCGCATCATTTAACAAAAATATCCTTACTTCTTTGCTCAAAAATCACGCATAGATCTTTCAAATTTGATGACAATTATCAAATTAGATTGCTGATTATGAAAACGCTCATTTCTCGGCACCGTTAAAACTTTTGATTTTCGGTTTTAATTTTTTGGCGCTGCTGAACTCCATTGCTGAAATAATATATTTTTGGTAATCAGTCTTATTACGAAATAACCGAATGCAGTTTTTTTTATTGTCTGAAAATTTTGGTGATTGCTTGAAAAAATAGTTTTTGATTTGCCACCCGTTTTAAGAGGACATGAATTCACAGTTTTGAGTTGTTGCATAGTCATGACATCATCGTGGCTTGGGTTCAAGGATGCTGAGGTGGGTAAAGAGGACGAGGAGCCACTAACTTGCGAAGATTCATTCATCGGAGGAGTTCCTGTAAGTAGGAGGGGGATTTAGTTGCACAGGTAAATAACACAAGCTCTGAAAACACTATTTCAATCCGAAAATTATCGGCTGGCTAGGCCTTTAAAACATAACCTCAAAAAAGTTTCGCTAAAAAATTGATTGAAATTTATATTGGCTTTGGTATTTAGTTGACGTATAAATTTAAGTTTCGTATTTTTCGATATTTTTATGATCTGTCGGTCTACTTGTTCGCCCTTTAGTTTCTAGAACAATATCTGACTTCAATATGATTGTAATTCAAGCTATTTGTGTAGCTCCGAAGTTAGAACATGAAGAAAAATAACGATTTTGCAACATCATTCTTTGCCGTTTTGCATCCTAATTTTGTTCAGGTTATACCAGATGGCATCATTTTGAAGGAAGAAGAAGTGACCTGTGGATCTGTCAACTGTGGTTTAAGATTGAGCTGTTTGGCACAACTGTTCTGCCCTTTGGATTCCCATCCCAACATGCATAGATCACTACTGGTTCTGGTCTGTTCCAATGTCAAATGTCACCAAACTCTCAAAGGGTGATATATACTATCATTCATTATTCAAAGTGAATTTCTCAATTTTTTTGTTTCTTTTTGCCCGCCAAAATCTTCTCCCTCCACAAGCAGAGCGTAGATAGTGTTTTTAAACACAGGATATAATTGTTCTAACCTCTTACTCACTTTGGCGTATTTTGGGTTTTTTGTCTCGCGATTTTAGGAACAATTAAAGAAAGTTCGTAAATAGTCAACTTGGGTATCATATTTAAGCCTTTCCAACAGTGATTGGTATTGCAAATAAAAGTTCTCAGTGTCGAGAAAAGGGTGTCTGTTTTGTTTTTGCTAATCAGTCTCAAATTTACCAAAGAATGGAGGATAGTTTAACAAATAGTGAGGACTCTTTAATTTTTTAAATGAACTCCGTTTTTCATTGTGAGTCGCTAATGAGTATGCTTCAAAAGCGTATTATAGACTGAGAATTTGTCGACTGCAAATTCGAAATGTTAAAAATTAGTAAAATCGAAAAAAGAAATCGGCTCGATTTTGTGTATATTTTTGCAATGCTATCTGTAGTAAGAACTCTGTAACATTTTTATCACAGGCCGTCCGATTCAGTGATTAAGTGACAGCCTCTTATGTAAAACTGATAACCATGATTACATAATTCCTTGAAACTTCTGAACGTCAAGCAATCATTCTGATTGGTTCAGGTGGAAAGTGTATCGTTTACAATGGGAGGCCAAACAGGAATCCAAACAGCAGCTGACGTCATCAACGTCGTCTGCAAAATCAACAGGATTCTTTCAATTGGATGATTCATGGGGTGATGATAGTGTTGGCACAGAGTGGGCGACTGAGCCTTCACCTTCGAAGAAATCTCTTCTTGATACCGAACAATTAGCTGAACAAGTTCAGAAGGAAAAACAACCGGATTTTGAACAGATTTTGGAACCATATCTTATCGAGTTTGACGCTGAAGATTTGAGCAAAATGTAGGTAAATGTCTGAGTCAAGTTGTAGATATGGCTAGTTCAAATCCGGAATGGCATTGTCATCGATGTGTATGAAAAGAGAGAAATTATCACCCGTTTCAGCTGCAATCAGTTATGGATATGCTTAGTTTTGGATATTAATAACTATCCCTCACCGTATTGTAAAGGGGGAGGGCGAGTTCGTTTCAGGGTACAAAATTTGCATATGCTCTCATGTTGATAAAGTCCTTTTTTGTGGTTGAAGTTCTTTACGAGGTACCCTAAAGAGGAAATAAGTAACAAAAATATTAGGAAGATAATTAAGAAGACTTGAGTTCTTTTCAGTGAAGACAAGAATGTGGACGTTGAGGACGAGGAAGATGATGATCCCGGATGTGAAGATGACATCAGAGTAAAGGATCTTCCTGACCATTGCAAAAATGTTGCGAGAGATGCATTCACCATATTTTATCACCGCATTTTAGCTGATCCAGAACAAATTGTTAGGTAAGTCCTCTAAAATCGAGTTATTTTCAATATTGTTTGATCATTCCCGTAGCGTAGTGTCATACTACGACGTCCACTTTTTGTCAAATATAAGTCGCAAATATAAGTGATTATTAAAAGTGTGTGTTTATGCTGTTACTGTGTAGCATGTATTCAATAGCGTTTTAATGTCACTCTTTTAATTTCGCTTAGTTTGTGGCAAGTTCTGTCGGACAATAACGAGTCGTATGAAAATGTATGGGATTTGATTTTTCAGACGGTTTTGAAAAATACTTATTGGGCCCTTAATTTTGTAGAAAAAAGTGCGCCCTTTTTTGTAGAAAAAAAAGTAAAGGCTATTTTTGACAATTTTTTTTAATTTCTCTTTTCTCAAAAAATACCCTCCTAAATCTGCAATTTTGGGTTCAACCGAAAGAAAAGAACGCAAAGATTTCCCTGCATAAATGGTTTTAAGCTATTTTCTGTAGAAAAGCCAGCATGGTCTTAGAAAAAGATCATTTTCAAATTTTTTATCATTTTTGCGAACTTCACTTCTTTTCTCGGAATTTACCCTGCCAAATCTGAGAGTAAGGGTTTTATCGAAAGAATAGTTTGTGAGGTTTTCCCTGCATAAGTCGCTACTCCCTATTTTTAGTAGAGAACTCAGTATGAACCAAGCAGTAAAAGTATACATTTGTTCAGAATGTCAATTAATTTTTGAAGCTCATTTTTTCATTTAATACTTCAAAAAAAAACATTTCATTTGCGAGGATGGGTTGTAGTTAATCGGACTAAATCCGGTTTTTCTTGTCTATCTGTAGCATATCTTCAGCGAAGAGCATGTAAATTTTTGTTCGTGAGTCGAATAATGAACTTGACGACACTTAAACGCATGTTCTTCAATCCTGTATTAAATCAAGTTTATAATGATACAGATACGGTGGCGAAGGAGAGTACCTTCCTGTATACAGTAATGATGTCATCACAACTGGTCGCAAGTGTGCAAAGTGCAGTACACCACTCATCTGTGAGCTACAACTGTTGCCCTCCATTCACAGCTGCTTCAAAAATTCACCCCTCACTCATTCTTCTCTCGGAGTGTTCACATGTCCGAAAACAACCACGTCGTGTGCGGACTTTGAAAGGGGTTGTTTGAAAGTGTCCGATTTGATTGTTGAAGTTGAAAAAGATTAATTAAAATTTTACTGGTCATAAAAATCGAGGAGATAACGTCGATAGTTCAATTAGGATTACAGGAGCTCGTCAATAGTTATTGTTGAAGTGAAGTATAGAAATGAAGTGATGAAATTCAGTAGCATATTCCATCATACGCAAAGTTCGATTTTGATTGATTGTTTTTCTTGAGAGGTATTTTTTTTCAGGATGAATGGTGATTTGTTTCTTTCTGATGTCCATACTCATACTAAACTCAATGGTGCTTCTGAAAATGGGTTCATTGAAGAAAGATTCAAATTTCACGACCCATCAGTAGAAGGTAATGCCATATAACAGCAACAATTAAATCTGATTAAAGATAACTCGAGCTCGGAGTTATAATTTCAATTATAATTTTTCCGTTTTTTGTTCCTACAAGTCTTGTAGGGCGAGGAAATATTGCGTGGCGTGGGCTTTCTTTGGTCAGTTTTGACTACCTCAAAGGAAACTCGCATGTTCGAGCCAGTTGTGGTATTATATTAAAGCCCTTTCAGTCGTTGTTCGGATTCTTAAATAAAATCTGGGATGCTGTTTCGAGAAAAACTAACTATTGAGTCTCTTCACTATTGAGTATCAAATTTAATGTAGAGGAGATGAAATTTACACTTCAATCCGTTCAACGATAAATGACTTTTCACAACAACATGAACGTCCGTGAAATATATGGAATATCTCAATTTGTAAGAAAAAGTTTCTCGAGTTATGTGTTTTTGTTCCGACTTTCGATACGAAAGTAACGGAATATTTGTGCTTGGGGTGGGTTTTTTTTCTTCAGACAAATTTCGACTTTTTAACTAGCCATTTTTGACGGAATTTTTAAATATCATTCGAAAGGTATTGTTGTCCTGAGCTCAAATTTGAAAAGATATTTCACCTGTGATCATTTTTCGTAGAGTTATGGGGGTTTACAAATTGCCATTTTGGCCAATTTGGGACAAATAACGCGCGATATATTTCGCGCTATTAACGCGTAAGCGAGATTTAATCTGTCTTAGAAATCGTTCCAAATTGGTTTAACGAAGCTTATTTGTCATAATTGATTTGTTACAAGTAGCGAAATCTATCCTTTTGAACTTTATATGGCGTGTGGGGGGATGACTTTCATAAAAAATTTCAAATTTTGGGAAAAAAAATTCACTTTTTATTTTTTTAAAAAAAATTTTTAACGTTTTTACTGCTCCATAAACCTTAATAAGCAGTCGGAACATTCAGGGCTTCGCCCTGATACGAGCAGTCTTGTTTATTTTTGTAATGATAATCGGTCACTCTTGTTTAAAAACTGTTTTTTTTGGGGGGGGGGGCATGGGACTGGGACTGAAACTTAAAGTTATTTTCAAAATCTTGAAAAATTAGCTTAAATTGAAACAAACTAAATGTCAAGTGCAAATTTCAGATTGTTTTTTCTTAGCACCGAGCAGAGTTCTTTACGTTTTCCTTGCAGTCCGAATCACGATTGATAGTGACCTCATACGACGGGTCTTTGTGGCATCTGATTTCTTATGTTGCAAAGTTTTGTTACGGGTTTATTTGGTTAATTTTAACTTTACTTTGAAGTGTAGAGAATGAGAGAAGGACTCCAATGAAAACGGGCAACAGTGGGGGTCTAAAATTGAATGAAGTGTGCTACATCAGACACAGTATGCAGACTGAGTTGGACAGTGTTGGCTTGCAGGTGTGGAATGGGGCTCTTTATATGTGCGATTACATTTTGGCCAATCAGCATTTGTTCACAAGTTGGTACATGTATAATCTAGGAGACCTAGAGGTATCTTTGTAGTAGTTAGAACATAGTTGAAAGATGCCCGAGGAAAAAAGAGCCCGGCCTGAGGGCACGAACTGCCCGATGGTGGCTCTTTTGCCCGAGGCCATCTTCAACTATGTTCTAACTGTTGAAGAGTATGTTTTTGCTCTTTCTGAGGGAAAGATGCCGGAAAATTGTGAAAGAGCCCGGAAAAGTGCGCGAAACTATGCAAATGATTTCTTCTTTCATTCATGCGTTCTAAAATTTCATTTTTTCATTCATACGTTGTAGTGAAATAACATGTGTGAAAGAGCAAAAACATATTCTTCCTCGTCAATGCAAAACAGTTAAAGGTGCAGTGCATTGTTGATCAGTACATGTAATTCTAATGTTGATTTCGTTTTCTAAATGTCAAAAATTACAAATGTCAAGTTGAAATTTCGAGGTTGTTTGGACTAATGACAAGTAACTAGATCATTAAAAAAGGCAAGAAAATGAAAGGATAAAAAAGAAAAAATTGTTTCTGAATTAATTCGATGGTTTCAATAGTTTCGTTACTGGCAGGGAAATCTGTGCTTGAGCTGGGAGCCGGAACTGGACTAGTCTCTGTCATACTGTCTTCGCTGTGCAAACGAGTGATCACTTCGGATAAAGACACGAACATATTAGATCTGATCGAAAGCAATCTGAACCGGAACAAGCATCTTAAAAACAATAAATGCGATATCAATTGTATGATTATCGATTGGAATCTACCGGAACAAATAGAATTTGAAGGTATTTCTGGGATCGATTTCATAGTTGCTTGTGATGTTGCATATGACCCTGATATATCAGACAGCTTTATATCGTGTCTGTGTAAAATTTGTCTTCGTTTTTCGGAAGATGCAAAGCGTCAACAATTGAAAGTTTATATTTCATCTGAGAAACGAATTGTATTTTGTTACGACGACGAGAAACCCTCGCATCCTTCGTATTCTTACTTCGTCGAAGCTCTAACAAAAACGTTAACCAGTAATCTGAACCAGAAATCATTCACGTGTTCAATTGAAAATGTTTGCACAAATGATTTAGCGTGTCATTTTGAGTTTGATAGACCTAGTACGATGGAGTTACTCTGCATAACCATAGTATTTAGATAAATTGGAGATTTCGCGTCGGGAGACATCGCAAAATTTAGTTCTAATGAAAATCAGATTTGAATCTCATTTCAAATCTGATAAACTGATTGATTATTAATCGGGACACAGCCGTGATGGATATCTAATCAAAGGTCGTCTTCGTTTTGCTTCTGTTACAATTTAAATTATTCTATTTGTTGTTTTCAATTCTACCATTACATTTTAAATGATTAGTTTTGTTTACTGGCAGTAAGTATAGTGGGCGTGATAATAATTTTATTGAAATATAAAATCTGTAATTAATTATCCCAAACTTTCTAACGTGAAAACCTATTCTCAAGTAATTAGGGGTTGAACAACACCATTATCATCAAAAATGTTCTTTGCATTCAATAGCGATATCTTCTTGTTCTTTTTTTTCTCTGATTCTTCTTGCACGTTAATTTTCAGTGTCTTGCTTGCTCTAAAAATTGTTCTCGGTTCGTATATAACTTTAATGATCTAGTATATATAAAGTAAAAAAATTAGCTGGTTGCTGTGCAAATAACACAGAATTTTTCCATTTCAAATTATTTTTTTAGTTTTTGTGTGTTTTTATTACTATTGCGGTTATATAAGGTATTCCAGCCAAGTTTTAAACTTTTGTTCCGCCGTGAGCGGATTTTGCCCCTGAGAAGGTAACATATTTGAATTTATTGTCTGTTAAGGTGTATAGTTGCTGTAAAAGTAACAGGTGAGATTTTTCAGCTTAAGGTTGACGGTTGCAACCCAGTCGGAATTTTCACTTTAAACTCGTTTTAATTTGGAACACGTTTTAATTATTTTTTTGTTGTTTTTGAATATTAATAAAACAAGTGATTTAATAAAAGATAAATCGCTTTTTTTTTATTAACATTCAAAAACAACAAAAAATTCCAATAATTTTTTTTTTCAAGAAAAAGTTAAAATCTGTTCCAGCTCAAATTTGATCTTGGGCGTTTTGGTTTTGATCTCTTTTCAAGTTCAATGAACCTTAGTTAGCTAAAAAGAAGGTAAATCACCTCTTCAATTACCAAAGTGAAAATGCATCAGGGAAACATGAATGATTTTTAATTCGAAGATTTCCAAGCAGAATATTGAAACTATCTAGACCCAGTTATACTAGAATCTTGAAGTTTTATGTTGATAAGTTTTATGTTGATATTTTTTTCTACGATATTCGAAACTTGTATAAAAATCTTTTTTATTATTTTTTGTTCCTTGACACTTTTCCCATCTTTTGTTCCTATCTGTTGGTAGTATTTTTTGGGCACAACGTGCGTCTTTCAAAACATTGTTGGCTTAGTTACAGCCTTTTAAGTTTTGTTTACAGTTTGATTACCTTTCTCGACACTTTTGTTCAAATTTAACTGAATTTATGACAAATCGAGACACATCAAGAATTATAGGTAAACTCCCGTCTTTTATTAATTTTTTCTCAATTTTTTTTCTTCGATTTCTAGCTTTTATCTCATCGTATGTAGACTAGCTTGACACGCTATGTTTGTGATGACTGGTGGTGCGTGCGAAATCATGCTTCGTCTCTGTGAATGTTCTATCGTTTGCTGACGTAGGCCAAAAAATTGATATTAAGCTTCAAGAATAAGGTAAAAGCTCAAAACATGTTAAAAAAATCAAACTCAAATTAGGAATTGCTGTTTTATTCTCATCACTCGCATATCGGTAAATATGTTTGAAGTGCACTTTTTTAAGAATCAAAAGCCGAAACTTGAATCTAGGCGAAAATCGCAACTGCCCTTGTTTTGCTAGAGGTAATGAAATGTCTTTTTGGTAGGATAGTTTTTCAAAAGATCAGACCGCCTTTTCACGGCACTGTAGGATCCCGTGCGATTTGTCCTTTGTTAGTAAGTTTTGTGTCAAAAAATTCATTTACAATTTTTAATATTCAACCAACGAGCACAAACTATCGCAAGGATTTACTATCGCACCTTGAAGATGTATTTAAGTCAATCTGATGAGATTTAGAAGCGATTCTTTGAAAGATCACATGTGAACTATTTCAGATAAAATGACAGAATCCGAACATCACTCTGAAGAAGCTGCAGGGCTTGAGTTGAAAGAAGACAAGTCGATCAAAATGTCTTTGACATGCAAGTCAATGAGGGCGAGTTTCCCTTCGGTCAAACAGATGCAGACCTCTGAGCTGCACCACTTGATCCGCAACCCGCAAACGAAAGACGCTGTAGTCGTTCTGGTTAGTAGATCGCCCTTCAAGTTTGTTATTTCGTTTATAAGATCTGTCTTAATCTGCATGCGCACACGACTAGTAACACGCGATTAATAAAGGGAGCGAATAATAATGAACTACTAAAAAGCTGTGTGACTTCTAAATGGCATTGATTCAACAACCTCTTAGATGGCGAATGTTTTTCAAGTACGCCTTCTTTCTTCTCTAAATTTTTTCCGAGCTCAAATCAAGGTCTCGCTTTGTTATGTCATCTAAATCTATCAGCTTAGTGTTATTAGTTATTGCGGAGCTTAGGAACAGCTGAATCATTTTAGCGTCACTTCAAGGAAGGTAAATTGACCTTAAGGGTCCATGATCTAGTGGGCTATTTACACTAACTCATCCAGTGCTCTCTTTATCTTCGTTTTATTTGTGAACTTACCGACATAAATTCCATTTGAAGATAATATTTCTCGAAAAGGTTTGATTTGATGAAAACGTGAGGGGTAAACTAAATTCAAGGTGGAGCGCGCGCCAAAAAAACGCATTTACATGGCTAAAACTCTCCAATAACTGTCCTAAAACGGCATTTTTGCCGCCTGTTTCTTCAGAAATCTGCTAGCGGTGCGGAAAATTTTGTTTTGTAAAGCTCGGAAAATCTGGTCTACCTAAAGTTCAAAAATGTCGATAATGACCTGCAATCTTTGAGGAAAAATAGAACCTACAAATCGTAGGTACACCAATATCATTCGATAAGTTTTAAGGTCAATTTGAGAATGAGATCAAAGCTGTAGAATGAGATCGATTCATTAATTTTTGCTTGTTTGATTAGGATGTAAGACCTGACGAGGAGTTCAGAGTCAGTCATATCGAGAAAAGTGTGAGAGTGGACCCCTCCACCAAGAATTTACCTGCAGTCGTGCAATCCATCAAAGCAATTCTAGGTAACACCCAGAATATATTTGGTTTTGACCAATTTTTTTTAGGTGTTTCTGACCTTATTTTTTCTATATGCTTGAAATGAGATTTTATTTTCTCAAAAAAACTGCTTGTTTTTGTCGGATTGAATTCCAAAGCAGTTTGTTTTCTTCTGATTTGAAGAGCATTACAGTAATTGAAATTCATTCTATAATTTGTAATTTTACCAATTTTGATTTTGAATAACTTCGTTCTTACCCCTGCGAGAGCAATAGTATTGTAATCGGAATTAGACTTTTTCTCTTTCGCAACTTTTGTTTTAAATTCGTAAGAATTTGATGTTGCTTTACTGTAGTTTCGTAGCAATTTTCAGGCCCCTTCCCACTTGGTCTGGAGGTATTGCGGTTGCCTTTGCACCCTATTGTCTGGGGTTCGAATTCCAGCCGGACTTTGTGTAATTTCAGTGTCTGAAATTGACTTTTTTCCGGAAAAACTTGAATAGTAGACTATAGTTTGTCGGCTCAGTTGCCGCACCACGGATTTTTTTGAGCTGTAAGCAGTTTTCATTTTAGTCTCAATTGTCGTTGATTAACTCCTTCAGTTTTTTTTCGCATACAATTTCTATTCGGCCTAAATAATTTCGGCTCTTGTTTTGTCAGTGTAGTGTTTTTGCATAGTTTTAAGGGCAGGAATTGATTTATTCTTATTAAGTTTAATCAAATTAGGGCGGTTTTTGTATAAAAATTACAAATTCAAACTATTTAAACCCTCAATTTTTATGACAATATTTTCCTTTGGCATTGTTTGTTTTCGGATGAAATGGGCGTCTTACCACATGTTGTCGGCTTAGTGACTAAATGCTTGTTTAATTCTAGTGATTGTTTCTCGTCTGTTTTTTTTCTGATATTGAATTTTTCGTGTTTCCAAAATAATTGCTGATTTTTTAAATTTTTTTTACTTCAGTATTTCAATCTCTTCTTCTATTTGGTAGCTATCAATGCTATGCTTTTTAGTCTTTTTATCTTAAAGGGTTTAGGCCTATTTTCAATTGCTTTAATAATTACGCTTGCCATTAGCAAGCGTTATCAAATCGGAGTATATATTTTTCGGGTTAACAACTTGTTTAACAGAATAACTTGGTATCTTCGTTCATAAAGAATCCAAATTTCTACGCGTCCGCGGAATACTTAGTCGGGAGGTAACGAATGCGTCTAGGAGAGCAGGGTCCTGGGTTGAAATCTGGTCCGGAGCTTTTTTTAAAAAACGGGAAATGTTTCGTTTCAAAAACGGCTTGTCATTTGTCTGTTTATGTTTTGTCGTTTTTGTTGCCACCTCTTAGATTTTTTTTGCTGCATACAGTTTTCATTAGGGTTGCTTTTTATGTTTTCGTCTACTCCTGCAATTCGTAATTCTACTTGACTTTGTTTATTTTTCTTCTTTTTTTTGGCTTATATTTTATTGGCTTGCTAACATAATTTTGTTGTTCGAGGGAACCATAATTTGCAGGCTTTCCTCCGGATCGCGCAAAACGTTAAAAATCTCTGAATACAATTTATAGTTCAAAGTTTTTCATGGCAACAATTTTATTTCCGCTGGATAATTGTTTTCGAATCGTTTATTTTTTGAATTTTCATTAAACGCTATCGACTGTGTTTCTGGACGTGTTTTTTTTGTGCAAATAAAACATCATTCCATTCAAGTTTTTTTTTACTTGTGGTTTCTCCTAAAATTGTGTCCTTTTCGTTGGATTTAGTGGCTCTCCTTTCATGTCATGTCTGCTAGCTTGCAATCTATATCTATCTATCTATCTATCTATACTATATTTAAATGCGAGTGACAGCTATCTCCCATGTTTAAGCATAATAATTTTGCATGTTTAACGAATTTTTTTTTTCATGTTTAAGCTATATCATATGTTGCAATGCTTAAGAAAGTTTTTCAATTAGTTTTCCGCAAGGTCATTAATTTTTCAGTAATTTTTTTTCGAAGCCAAATTAAGTCTGTCTGTTTGTCTGTATACCTGTTTTTTTTTAAATTAATTTGATTGTCTATCTACCCGTCTCCTAATTTTTTTTAACTTTCATCTATTATTTATCTATTATATATTTAAATGCGAACTTCGCTATCTCGCCATTTTTAAGCTTTTTCAACGTAATATTTTTGCAGGTTTAACAAAAGAATTTCACGTTTAAGCTAAATCGTATATTGCAATGGTGAAGGTTTTTTCGATTTTCCAGTTTTTCATCAAGTTGAAATTAGCAACCCAATAATGGAATGTTGTCAGAGTTTTCCCAGGTTTTGAGTTTTCCCAGGTTTTTAAACTGTTATCGACTTATGTTTTTTGCCCCTGTGTCGTATCTTTTTTCGTTTGAAGAGCAAAATAGAATTTCATGCTTTTAATTGATTACGAAGCGGTTTTGGGAAGTCTTCGAATTTTAAAAATTTATTCTAGATTTCCAGACAATACTACTTCTTATTACAATTGCGAGTTTGCGAGCCTAGTGTGTTAGTACGAAGTTTCTTTTTTAAAACTTAACTCGCAAATAAAAGTGTTCACCTATTTGGTGACACTTTTGCAATAATCACAATCTGTAGCATGGCAATTTCATTGAATCTGTTCCCTGCTTCGTTTGTGCTTTTTTAAAATTTATTGAGCGTCCGTGGCTGAGTGGTTAGTGCGTGAGACTCATAACATCTAGGTTGTAGATGGAATCCGAGATGAAGCCATTTTTTTTTTACTATCGAGGCTTATTTCTACTTTTTCTTATTGCACTTTGTAGAGCTGCTTTTTTGTCGTGTTCCCGCTAGTGTTTGCGAAGCGCAGCCTCGCCTCTCTGTGAAAATTTGTATCGGTCCAACGGGCTACTCAAGTTTTGCCGTTAAAGTAGATACTGTTTTTTTTTTTTTGAAATTGAAGATCATTCGATTCATTTTTCTCAACTTATTTTTTCTAAAGTAGTTTCCTTCTCATTTTCTGCTAGCTCGAAATGCTATGCATGCCTTGTATCGCAAGAAGTGCGGAGCTCGGAATCACGTCTGTGAAAATTGATTAGGTCATCCGTTTTTTTACCAGCAAAAGCGTCAAATGTAACTTTGACGCAAAATCGTCAAATTTAACAAATGTAATTTCGCTTACAATTCTGTAAAGTTGACGAATTAGTTAACTTGATTTTTCATAACAATGCACGTGAACTTGGTGATCTCCGTTTTAAATAGACTTGTAATTGTCGGAAATGGCTTTTTGAAAGCTAGCATTATCTTAAGATTTTCTGTTGCTCACTTTTGTTTTGAAATGGGTCAAATAAAACTTGAAAATTGAACGATAAAAGAGACGCAAAATTGTGTCATTGGCAATTTTCATCGTTCGAAGCTAAATAGACTTATTATATAGACGCGATTTAAACCGATTTATGGGACCAATGATGAACGAGTTTGCCATTTATGTTTCTAATCTCGGTTGTCGGCGCCATTTGCCAATAACTCTTGAAACAATATTAATTCAAATGCATGATGATATGTATATTGCCTCAATTGTTGTTTGTTTAGTCGACTCTTGAAATTAGTGATGGAATGTTTGTGGTCGGTGTCTTTTTTCCGGAAAATTTTTTACTTAAAAGTTAGCATTTTCGACTGAATTTTTGAAAGTTTCGGAAAGATGTTGATACATTGAGGTTGAAATTTAATAAAAATTACCTGCTATTGTTTTTTTGAAAATGTTTGGTTTTAAAAGCTTTGCTTTGTGATAGTTTGTGCGCGTGAAATTTCAACGTTTCCATTAATGAGTAATGCAGATGACGATCAACGAGGCTCACAAAACTTTCAAATCTCAATTGAGGCCAGGTAATTGGTTCAAATAAGCATTATTGTTCTGACCATTGAAAATGGTGAGGAAATTTGTATTAGAGTGTGTTTGTTTTTTGTTGTTTTCTACGCCAAATCGGGTACCACAAATAATCATATTATACCAAATCGTATTGACCGTTATGTGAAAATTTATTTTATTATGAAGCAGGCTAGTATTGGATGTATAATACTTAAAAATTCTTAAATGTTTTTTTTTTAAATTTTTTCTAGATAATTTTTCATAAGGTTTATTATGTTGTTGATTATGTCTATTTAACTAAGTTTCTACGCGGTTGTATAGATTTCCACGCGCTAAATTTCCAAGCGCTAATTTGCAGAAAAAACTAGCAAAACATTTTTTGGTTTTTTATGAATATAGTCGGAAAATTCTTTTCTACTTGCACCACAGCCAGGAAAGAGTTAAGAGTCCTTTAAGAGTCATGAACGTAGTCAGTACTCTTACATAAGTCTTGGTGATTTTTGTGTTTTTCAGGAAAAGGTTTTTAAGATTTAGGTTTTTGCGGTTTGACTTATGATTTTGTTTTAAGTTCAGTTCATTTCTTTTTTTTTAAAAGGAAGGCGAATTCCACTATCGAACAGCGAAAGTGTAAAGGTTACAAAAATGTGATCGATTTCTACTGCGAAGATGGTTTTTAATTATCAGGTTTTCCAGCCACATAAACAATTTACCTATAGATCCAGTTTTTTGAAATTGGGTTAATTTTATCAAAAATAGAGTCAATCACAAATTGTTCTTAAATTTCAAATAGCTTTAAGGCCATATATTTTTTTGAAATTCGTAAGTTGATTTTAATTTAAAAAAAAAACATGTTTTTTTAATTTTCCTGCGTTCCTGACTTCCAACTTCTCCTGGCTATATTTATCCCCTTTTTTACTTGAAATTATGTTTGATGGAAGATAATTTACCCTTTTGGCTCAATGTAATTCTAGATTTCTAATGGCAACAAAAAATACTGTCCAGTGACTATGCTTAAATTTTAGTGGACGAAGTGAAGTTTTCAGGTGGTCTTATTTACTTTTAGCTCTTGAAGTTTGGTTTTTTTAAAGTTCACTCTAAATTCTTTTGCTAAATTGAAGGCAATTAACGCTAGCCGATAAGTATTGCAAAATTACGCTAAATATATATTTTTTCAAAAGTTGATTCCAGTTTTGTATTTCAGTTTCTAAATTTGAAAATTAAATTTTTTAAGTTGTATGTTGGCTATGTTTATGCAATGAGTTGAAACTATTATTGCAAATGATCATTTCAGTAAAGTGGACTATTTTATATGTATTCCTTTCCCAGGTACATCCGCTTTAAGTGAAACGCCCAGAGTTGTGGCATACTGCTCTCTGGGCTATCGATCTTCTGATCTCATCAGCAGACTTTCTCAATATTGTGCGAAATCTTCGGAGCCAGAAATTCAGCAGCTAACTTCCAATATACAGATGTTTAACTTGGAGGGATCTCTGTTCAAATGGGCTAACGAAAGCAGGCCGATGGTTGATTCGAATAATGACGTCACAGTTGTGTGTCACCCGTTCAATGCCATTTGGGGCAAAATTTTGCGCAAAGAGTTCCGTGCTAAAGTTGAATGAACTGTTTTTAGTATTAGTTTGTATCTTTCTGATTCCCCTTTTCTTGTTATCAATCCTGGGTGCTATATGATTCCCTGATTTTTTGCATATTGTGATTGACTTTTGCAAAGCATACATTTGGTTTTGAAATCATCGTAGAAGTGTCAGACGGATTTCGATAAATAATATTTTCGGTGTTCTGATGTCAGAATTTAATGTCTTTATAACAAGTTTTATATGCATAAATTGACGCAATGAAGATAATTTATACTCTTGTGTCGCGAGCGACCACAGCCTCTCACAAGGAGGATTCGTATCATGGTAATTTAGACTGGAGTGCTTCTTTTGCACGTAAAATCAACTATGCAGAGAATTAGACAGTTCGTCGGGGGTAGAAAGTTCGATGCTCATACACAAGCTCGTGCGTATTTTAGCAGACCAGTCTTTCAAGACAAAATACACAAGAAGAATCGTATCAGGGCAAAGCCCTGAATGTTCCGACTGCCTTTTAAGGTCTATGGAGTTGTAATAACATGAAAAATTAAATGTGAAAAAAATAATAAAATGATTTTTCTTAATTTTAGTTTTTTGCGGAAATCATCCCCCACACGCCATATAAAGTACGTAAAGATAGATTTCGCTCCTAGTAACAAATCAATTAATGCAAATAATCTTCCTTCAATCAATTTGGAACTACAGTGCTGATTTAAATTAACCGGACAAAACGCGTTAAACTTGAAATTTAAAACCCGTTTTTCTCAAATTGGGTTGAGTTTAGTTGAAAATTTATGAAGACAAAACTTGCTTAAAGTTTTAGCAGAGTTATTATGGTGTAATTTGTTTTGCAGAATTCAGGCCCGAAGTTTTACCCCAAAAATGGGCCATTTTGGTTTTTCTTAGTTAATCAGAAATTACGCCGAAAATACCCAGTCGATCACAGACATAATTATATCACAGTATATCTTACGTAGCCCAACAAACTTTATGAAGGGTAATTTTTCCAAAAAAAATTGCAAATAGTTTAAAAATTGTTTTTAAATAAAAAGTTGGTACTTTATATAGTAAAAACGACCTTTTTGTCTATCAAACAAAAATAAATTAACTTCTACAATGTTTTGAAGATTATACTCTTCTTAAAGTTTGTTGGGCTACGTAAGGGGCTTACTTTGATATATTTATGTCTGTGATTGACTGGGTATTTTCGGCGTAATTTTTTATTAACTAAGAAAAGCCAAAATGACCCATTTTTTGGATAAAACTTCGGGCCCGATTTTTGCAAAACAAATTAAACCCTATTAATTCTGCTAAAATTTTAAGCAAGTTTTGTCTTCATAACTTTTCACCTTAACTCAACCCAATTTGAGAAAAATGCGTTTTAAATTTCAAGTTTAGCGCGTTTTGTCAAGTTAATTTAAATCAGCACTGTATTTCTAAGACGGATTAAATCTCCGCTTATGCGTTAATAGCGCGAAATATATCGCGCGTTAATTCTCCCAAATTGGCCAAAATGGCAATCTTTAAACCTCCATAACTTTACGAAAAATGATCACAGGTGAAATATCTTTTCAAATTTAAGCTCAAGATTACAAAAGCTTTTGAGCGATTAAAAAATCCCGTCAAAAATGGCTAGTTAAAAAGTCGAAATTTGTCTGAAGAAAAACCCACCTGAGCACAAATATTCCGTTACTTTCGCTACGAAAGTCGGAACAATAACAAGTCAGGTTTTCTTCGATGCGCTTATATTCGATTCAAGGGGTGTTATGCACGTGAATCAGTGTTTGCCTCTAAACTAGTTAGTTTTGCTTAGATTTATTTGACAAACCGTGAAATAATAGTCCTAAACTGAGAAAGCTCAACCACAGACTAAGCGTTCTTTACGCCTGCCAATCAATTATGCGTCATTTGTTTTACGCTTTTCTGTCAAAAGACAGTTTTTACTTTTTACACCAAAAGATTGATCTGCTAAAAGATCGGTCCCGCTCTTGACACAAGTGTAAACTAGTGTTATATTGCTGAATGCTTTAAAGACAGTTTCGTGTCTTCGTCGTAGAAAAAAAAACTTAACCTAATTTTTATTTCATATCGCAATCAATTTAAATAAGATTGAAGTACATTAAACCCAATCAAGTCCCACAAAACCCAATCAAGTCCCACAAGAGACAGATTGATATATTTACACACGCGCAGCGTGGTTTACTTAAACGAATTCCATTTTTTCTCAATCTAAAAAGCAAATATTCGGTCGGAAGAACTGGTGTAAAGAATACAAAAGTTCTTTTTGAGGAAAAAAATAAAGCCATATACTGGCTAATTTTGAATTTTTCTACGTTTTTGGACCCTTGAAATTTCAGTCAAATCTGACATTAAAAATTCATTCGAAACAGATGTTAGCATTCATTGTATTTGCATAAGCAGCTACCAACATATTTTTAGTAGTAGTTTAGCTGATATTCAAAAAAGTCTACTATTTGAAGTTTTTCGACATTTTCTGTTGAAAACTTCCCTGTCAAATCTTTGAGTCCGGGTTGAATGGAAACAACAGGTGCTTTGAATTTTTTCTGCTAGAAACTTAATTTGGTAGAAAAACAAAATTGGTTTTTCAAAAAGTTCACGTTTTGAAATGTTCACTGTTGGTTGGAAATTTTTTGGTTCTCTCGAGAGTTACGGTTCCCAATCTGAGATTAAGGGTGCAATCGAAGATTAAATTGTAGGGATATCCCCTGCATAAACGGATTCTACGAATTGTGGGAATCAATCAGCTATGGAGTTCAGGATTATTCTTTTTATGACCTTTTGACCCATTTCAGATTTTGTGACAGCAGAAAATGTTCAATTTTTGAAGGTTCGCTCGGTTTTAGGAAGCATTTTTGCAAGCCACCCTGTCAAATCTGAGATTAGGGGTTGAATCAAAAGAACAGGTAGTGCAAATTTAATCTGCACAAGCAGTTATGCCCTTTTTAAGGAAAAAACTTATGGCCTTTATAAAATGTTGAATTGAATTTAAGCGTGATTTTTGAAACTCTTGAAGTTTCTCAAAAGTTAACCAGCAAAATCTGAGATAAGACGTGCGATCGAAAGAACAGAGCAAAATTTCTATCTTCGAAGGCTTAATTTAATCGTTTTAAGGCTTTTTTTGCACATCAATTTATTCAAAAAATAATAGAGTGCTTAGCCGATATTTTTTAAGCAAAAGTGAAGAGGCAAAAAAAAATAATAATAACAAAAAACTGATATATTGAAATTGGCGTTGGTACCTTTTTAACTAACAAAAAAATCAAATTTTGAAGGGAACGAGAGAGAAAAACTTTATTGTTGCAATAACTTTTGTAGTTACTTTTTAAATATGATGAGAAAAAAAAACGTTTCAACAGCAACTGAAAATAATATAATAGGACTCTCCTTATTAAGTATTGGGGGCAGTTGGGTGTCGGAAAAGAAAAGTTTGGCAGAATCTATTCTCTATTATGCATTAGAGTCTATCCTCTTATGCCTCTTTGAATTAATTTGTCTGTTGGCGTACAGGTGTTCATGATGGCGGTGATGCTGTGAATTACAAGTTAAAGTTTTTTTGTTGATGTAAATAGGATTTTCCTGAAGAAAATCGGTTTGTCAGAACCCAGGCAAGAGTATTGACCGGGTGCGATGATTATAGCGGCAGTTAGATTTCGGAAATTGTAAATTTCTAAAAGCTCTAGCTCTGTTTTGGCATAATTTATGAAGATATTATGTTGATCTGTAATTGATTATATCTCTAGCAGTAAGAATTCTGTGTTTTCCCTCACATGTGCGACAGAATATTTTCACTAGCACGCTTAGAAAGGTCAATGTTTCGCAAAACGTTTTGCTCTAAGAAACCATTTGAAATTTCACTTTTCATAGATTCAATAGCTTGCTTAAGTAAAACATGAATTTCTCGAAAACCGATTCGCTCTACGAATTAACTTGGAATGTTTCTAAGTTTCATAGCTTGAATAGCTCGCATAGGATAGTTCAATTTTTCTCAAAACGATTCGCTTTATTAAATAACTTCAAAGTTTCTTATCACGAATGGCTTGCTTACGAAAAACGTGACTACGAAAACGTTGCTTACGGAAACCGATTCGGTATATGAAATAACTTGAATTATTCAAGCTTCATCGGTTGAATGGCTCTTGAAGAAAAACGTAACATTTCCGCTATCTAATTCCGTTTCGGTCTACGAAACAAGAAGAAAAATTTCAAAGTTTCTTCGCTTGATTGGTTTCAATAAAAAAAAAATTCGCCATACGATTCCCTTCATTTCGAAGATTCGTAGCTGAAATAGTTTGCCTTTTGACTCGACAGGGTGTATATTTTGATAACTGGCTATGACTTTTTTGATAAAGAGTGGATGAAAGCAAGCTCTTTCAGCTCTAAATTTTACGATGAGCTTTTTTCTTTCAGAAAGGTATAAACGAATAATTAGAATACTTTAGGAGCGTGTTTTAATATGGATTTTTGTCTTTTAATTAGAAAGATATGGCAAATTTTGACAAGATTTTTTGAAGAATAAAGGTTTTTTCGATTTTTATTTGGATTGATAACTGCGCTTCGAATTTTGCTTTTTCTTACCCGGGACCGGCTTCTCTTGCTGTGATATAAATTCACCAGACGTTATAAAACAAGTGGAGTGTTCACGTGAAATTTCAGATGAGTAATGGCCCGAGTTCTAAAATATCGCAGAAGCAAAGAGTCCAGACGCTGGCTGCGAAGTACAAAGACATCCCGCGATCGCAAAACGCATCATGGGAGGCCATCGCGAAAAGTTTTGTAGCCGGAGGATTTGCTGGTTGCTGTGCCAAAACTACAGTTGCGCCTTTGGACCGGACCAAAATACTGATGCAAGTGCACAGCAGGGCTTATACAGATAAAGCGAATGTGTTCAATATAATGAAAAATATTTATTCCAAAGAGGGCATACAAGGATTATACCGCGGTAATATGGCCATGATCATTAGGGTATTTCCGTACGGAGCACTCCAATTCACCACCTACGAGCAGTACCGCAGAATTTTTTTCGCCACTTTCGGACCCGAGTCCCACTTCGCAAGAGGGCTGTCAGGTTCATGTGCTGGCTTAACCGCAGTCACCTGTACCTACCCATTAGAATTTGTGAGGTCTCGTTTAGCTTACCAAACTAAAGCCAATATTATTTATACCAGCTACATAGATACTTTCAGAAAAGTCTACACAACCGAAAGCGGGTTGAAGGGCTTTTATAGAGGAATTACGGCTTCATGGCTAGGTATGGTGCCATACGCAGGCATATCTTTCTACTCATTTGAAACGTTAAAAAGGAGATGTCTAAAAACTAGATGGAAAATGCTCTGTAAAACGAACCCGAATAACTCCGATGAAATTGTGTTGCGTCATTTTGTTCACTCTCTGATCGGAGGTTTTTCAGGTGCCATTGCACAAACTGTATCTTACCCGTGTGATGTAACAAGACGTAGGATGCAGTTAGCTAAAATTTTACCGGATTCACACGAGTACAGGAATATAATATCTACTATGAAGTTTGTCTACAAGCAGCATGGTATATTCAACGGACTCTATAAAGGACTGAGTATAAACTACCTCAGAATCGTACCTCAGACGTCGGTGTCTTTCACAGTCTATGAGTTCATGAAGAGCATGCTAGATCTTCAAACTGGAATTCCGATCAAAACTGGCTAGCCGAGTCATTTGGTTGGCTATCGTCACATTAAAAACAGAACGCACAACAATTTGAATGTGGAATGCATTGTAAATAGTGTATATGGAACTATCATAAGTATATTCATGATTAACTCTTTTCTGGTTAATTATTAAAAATTGATGCGCGTTTTTGTTTCCATGCTTCAAATCATCGGACAAGCGTGTTTCGTTTGCTTTGATGTCAACGGAGTGCATGCGGCATGAAACTTTCAACGAGCGCTTTGAAAGTGTTCGAACGAACATCAAAGTTTCATTCAATAACAATGTCATTTTTTTGTGTCGCTCAATTAAAATGTTGCACATTTTGGATGACCATCTTGATTTGGAAATGATACCCGAAGTGTGCGTATTTAAGCAAATATATATGTCAAAGATATCAGTTGTTTTTGTATGAAACTGTTTTGAGCTCGGCTCATTACTTTTTGTGACGCTTCTGTCACTTTAATTGCATCTTGTAAAATATAATATTTGATGCTTTTCAGTTTCCATGAAAAGGGTAAATAATTGCTGCGGGCTCCTTCTGCGGAATTTTTTTATTGTAGTTTTTTGTATTTACGCATTACGTATTTTTTGTATTTACGTATTTACGTTATTAACGCATTGACTTCCTGTTTACACCAGCGAGCTTGCGAGTAGTGTATTAGTAAGAACCTTCATTTTTTCTAACCTAACTCGTAAATAAAAGTGTTCTATTATTTGGTGGCTTTTTTGCTATAATCACGATCTGTAGCATTGGAAATTTCATAGAATCTGTTCTCTGCTTTATTTGTGACTTTTGTTATTAAGTGTCCGTGGCTGAGTGGTTAGTGAGTGAGACTCATAATCTCTTGGTCGCGGATCGAATCCGAGACGTTGCTGAATTTTTACTAATTCGAGGCTCATTCACTTTTTTGCATAGCGCTTTATAGACCTGTTTTTTTGTTGCGTTCTCGCTTATGTTTGTAGAGCTCAGCTTCGCATCTGTTTCTAAATTATAGCAAATTACAATGCTAGAATTGCAATCATTTTCTAATGGCTATCTGGTTTTAAAACTAAGCCAATTATTCAATTTTTTTTGCCTAATTTATGCGCTTTTTATATCTTTCGATCTCTGATATCTGATACTCAACGCGTAAGTGCGATTCAATTAATCGCTATGAATTATTCAACTCAAATTCATTCAAATTGAATTGAGGAAGCTTTCTGTTTGCATAAGATGCAAAAAAAATGCTAATTAAAATCAAAAATATTTGTTAATATGTCAAGATGTTATCTGCCAGGAAAAAAAGAAACTTGAGGCAACAGAATAGGCATTGGGACTATTTAAGATTTTGCCCCGATACTATCAGTCTTTTTTGTTCTGACTTATGAAGAAAACGAAATTTTTATACTTGGCGTGGTTTTTTTATTCAGTCAGTTTTTGGTGATCAAAATAATAGCTTGATTTATTTGCCCCATTGAAGATATCGACTCCCTCAAGTCAAATTTAAAAGATATTTTCGATCATTTTTAAGAAAGTTTTCGGGAGTTTGAAAATTGCCAATTTGGACATGCTAATCCTAAAAGCGTAACGAGAATTATTTATGCGTGGCCAATTATCATGTACAGCGAAATTGTTTCATATTGAATTGAGGCTAACTAATCGGTCGTATAAATTTTCACAATTGAACTTTGATATTGTCCAAAGTTTATGGTTTTTCATTTTTTTCCCCAAAAACTATTCCATATGGGTTAAGGGCAGTCGGAACATTCAGGGCTTTGTCTTTATATACGAGCTTCTTGTTTAATGAAATTGGTAGTTCTCACAAGATGCTGGCGGACAAAATCCACAAACGAAAATCCCCAGGACAAAATCTCACTGGATAAAATCCCCACGATTTGAATGCCTCATAAGACCAAATCCACTAGGAAACAATCCTCTTTTTTAAATTTAAAAACTCCCTTCCTTCGAAATTGGCAACCAGCCGACTTATAAAATTACGTTAAGAGTTTTTTAAATTAGTTTTTAGTTTTCCGACTTGCAAAAAGGAAAACATTAAAAGATGGAGATTAAAGACTGAAAACTAAAACGAATTTAGCAGCTATGGTTTTTAGTTAGTCCAATCCTTTGTAGTTGGGGGCAGAGCATACAATTCTCTATCCTCTCCCAAGGTCATTCGCTAGTGACTTTTTCCCAAGCTACGTTTAAGGAAAAAATGATTGCAGTGACTGCTGCATTTTTTTCCCGAAGAGTTCGTCAGTGGTCGACTGGTAGATGTTCCACGTAGCCATGTCGAACCACGATTTCCTTTTGATCGAATTTCGGGTTTCTTTACCTACGAAGTTGTCCTCGAAAAAATTCCTTGTCGTCGGGAATTTGACAATTTGGAGGATTTGTATACACTACGTTTCCACATGCAAAGGTCGTGCAAAAGCACGAGCAGCCAAAATACGTATAGCCAAATAAAACTCATTGTCTTACCGATACTGAAAAGTATAAACAATTTGGAGGCTTTTTGTTTAGATGGCTTGCGAAAAGTGAAAGAAACAACATTTGGTTTCATTGCAAAGTCCAACACAAATAACTTGTGAGGTTTGGTATTTGTTTTCACTTTACCTGTCGTTTATCGTCGAGAAGGGCATAGATACACGAAAAGTCTTTTCTTCTACGAAGCAGTGGACAATATATACTTGGTAGAGTTTGTCAGAACAGCTCTTGAAGGTTTCCTTAGGTGATGGCTTGTGTGATGCTGGTTCTTTAAGTGATGCATGTTTAACTGGAACTCAAAATGGAATCGAATCATAATGCTTGTAATTTTTACATTTCTGTTTGAAGGATATTAAATTAAAGTGGGGTGGATTTTGTCCTGGGATTTAAGTTCTTGACTGCCCACAAAACTTTGTTGCCTCAAAGTTTTATTTTTTTTCATATTTTTAACGTGACTTTCAACATATTTTTTCTTAATTATCGCCAAAATTTTTGGCACAACTCTTGTGTTATTCTTCAACTCTTTTTTTAAATAAATGATTCAAATAGCTTAAGTTGTTCATGTTTAATTAAACAGCTTTTTGTATTGCTTGATTCAAGGTTCGCGTGAACTTGTTTGTAAATGTATGTCAGAGGTTTAAAAGTTTGCCTTTTATCGATTGACTCTGCGAATTGCACCTAAAATTTACTAATCAAGTTGAGGTGTTACCTAATTTACTCAATAATCACAAAACCCAAAAATGACGAAAATTGAAAAAATTTGACAAAGTTTTTTTTTCCCCACGAAACCTGTGGTCGCAATATACTATGAATTTTATCAAGAAGCTGTCTATTGTCGTTTTATTTTGATTTTAATCTTGGAGTTCAATTGTGAATAGTTTGTTTTCGATCGTTCATCTCAAATGGAGTATTGCAGTTTGTGTATTGCGTTTTGAGAGCAATCGAAACTTTTGGGATTGGTACTACAGCTGACACCCTTTGTATTTTTTTGAGAATTTTTGAATACGAATCATCACAAAAGTGAAAGACGAAGTTTTCGGAAAATCATATGAAACTCAGAACATCATTATTTCCTCGTTCCTTAAAAAATAAACGAGTTTGTAGCTCTTTTTTAAAATAAAATAAGAGCGCGTTGCAAAGATCAAACCGCTGTTTTCGTGAAAGTAGCGTGAACGCGCTCTAATACTACAGTTAAGTGAACTTCACTTATGATAAATAGCACCTTTTCACTTTCAGACTATTCTGCCAGTAATAATGAATTCTGAGCTGCAGAGAAGGATCTATAAACTAACCGGTGTGGCCAAAGAGGTCATCCGCATCGGATTCATCCCCTTCATCATCTACCTCGGTTACAGGCAGGGTCCAGACGAGGGCATGCCACAGTTCACTCTTTTCAGTCTCCTCTGGGGTTGATCATGTACCCCTCTACTCCACCAGGCCAGAAAACACGTTTCTTCTGCTATCAAGTGAAATTTTGAAAAGAGTCAAAGAAGAGGATCTATGAAAAATTATGGATAGAAAGAATGTAGAACAAGTAAAACTAAAGCCGTTATTGAACTTTACCAAGAATTGTAAAATGGTGGCTTTGAATTGTTCGATTGTTGTATCAATCAAAATTTTATCGACGTAGTTTTGATTAGATGCATATGCTCGTTGAACGGACCATTATCTTTCCAAGGGCTAATAAAAACGACAACATTATCTTTCCGAACCATCATTTAACGCTCCGAACTTTGTTCGTCTTCTTTTAGATACTACTTTTTGCTCATGTTTGGTCATTTTTATAGTTTTATGCAGAGGAGGATTTTAGTATTCTCCAAATTTTTGTCGACTTTAAGGGCGACTAATCGCGGTTTCCTAAAACCGTATACACCCTATTCTGTCAAAAAATATATCTTCTGGCCGAAAATGGCATTTAGAACAGATAATGGAAGATGAAAAGAATTATGTTTTAAGAAGTACCAAAAAAGGACTCTTTGGGTGGGCAGTGGTTTGATTCCCTGAGGGGAAGGAGGCGTCCGCTACCCACTTAATCCGGCCCTGTTTATAAATACTGTGAATCGCAAAAAAATAATCAGAACAAATTGACCGCTATGGTTTCTTTTTAATGTATACTCCGTATTTTTGTTCGGTGTCAATAAACGAAGCAAAAAAAATCTGTTTGGATTGCTTTCCTTCAGGAAACAGTTTTGAAGTTAGTCACGGTCAAATTTATAATTTAGCAGTTGGATTTAATTTTTTTGTTTTCTTAAAAAGCTTTTTACTTTTAACAATCTCTGTGAGATGTGAACATGGCGCAAAAAGTGAACATGGCGCAAAAAACATGAGTGAGTGTTAGTTTCGATAGAGGGTTTTAATCATTAAGTTTCGCAGCGAAAAAGAAAAATGTATTTTGGCCCAGTTTGCTCAAATTGTGTTGAGTTGATACAGAAAGTGCCAAAAAAAATGTTCACGGAACTCAGTGAGCCTTGAGCCGATTTTTGTCTGAGTCTTTTCTTTTTTCACGTATTCACATAAGTATTTAGGTCATGTAATCTTTTTTTGACTGGCTGATCTTTCAATTTTGCGTAAGTTTTTTCTCGAGCTAATTTTTTCTCATAATGGAAAGAAAGTGGAGCTAATCAGTCTAGAGACAATGTCAATCAAGTTAAAATTGCAGATAAAATTCTGTAACTTTGGACGCAGGACGAGAAAATTGGTGTTTGTAAAGGCATGTAAAAATAATTCCATGAGCATTATTTCTCCAAAAACAAACAAGCCATGGAACAAATTGAGATTTTTTTAGAAGCGAAAGCAGAAACCTTAATTTTGTCTGATCTGAGCCGTTAACCTCAAACAACATTTTGTTCTGTTTTCTCATAATTGTGTTGCTAACGAGGAAAATAATCAATCTGTTGGCTAAGTTAAATCAGTTTGAACTTTTGATAGAATTCCTCACCTTTTGAATGGCTAGATTGTGAAAATTGGGATGTACTAAATAATTTCTTCGGCGAAATTTTGTTAAAAAATAATAAATGGCTCAACTTGGGAGCCGCATGGTAGCGAATTCATAAAAGACAATGGAACTAAATTTTGGGTGTTCGTAGCCAAATATCTGAATAAAAAAGAAATATCAAAATGTGGAAAACTTTCAAATCCTGTTTTATTAAGAGTAATGAACGTAGTGAGTACTCTTATGTTGTTCTTGTATTTTTTCAGGAAAGAATCTTAAAATTTGTTCACGCTCAATGTTGATTTTTCGCGGTTTGACTTGTGATTTCCTTTTAAATTCAGTGCATTTCCACTGTTCAAAGGAATGCAAACTCCAATATCGAACAGTAAAAAACGTGATAGAATTCTAATTTCGAAATTGGTAATTAATTATCAGATTTCCGAGCAAAAGAAAAATTTTTACCTGTTGATCCAGTTTTCTCCAGTTAGGTTATATTCAACAAAAACTGTTCATCATAAAATGTTCTACAAATTGAAAGTTTTAAAGCCATCTATTTTTTCCCCGAAATTCAGAAGCTGAAGGTTTTTGAAAAAACCAGTCAGTTTTTTTACAGTTTTCTCGCGTTAACTTCTCTTTTCCAGCTGTCAGTTGTCTATGTTTAAATGTTTCGATTTCATTTTGACACTTACTTAAAATGTGTGGTCGTTTTTTGATGGTCTGATTTTTAAATTTGCTTTTCAAAAACAGTTTATACGAACTATGTTTTTTACCAAGAAATTTGGAGCTACAAAAGTATAGATATATACTTGCGTAAATCTCAATTTGAACTGACGAAATGATCTCAAGTTTTGTCCGCTCAAATAGTGAAATTGTTTGCCACCTGATAAGTTTTCAAAATTCTGTAAAAATTTTTTTCTTTACGTCTTTGTGGCGAAACAGTTTGTCCAAAGATCTTTTTTTACTTAGCAGATTGTTGATTTTATCCGCCATTATTATGTGTCATTTGCAGGCTTATGTTTTTCGCATGTGTATTTTTGCGCAGAGCAGTTTTGCTCCTGTGTTTTTATTGTTCCGACTGTCAAAGAAAATGACGGAGTATTTGTTCTCGGGTGTTTTTTCGGACAACTTGATCTTTTTGACGGATGATTTTTATAGAATAAAGTTTTGATTCTCTGAGATCAAATTCGAAAAGATGTTTCACCTGTTATTATAATATAAAAAATAATTGGGTTGAGAAAAAGTCAATTTGGCAACACTGGGTTTCGGACGCGTTAGACATTGCTAGTTGTTTATTTACGCGCATCGAAAGCGACCAAATAATCCGGCTCAGAACTCATTTCGAATTTCATCAAAGCCTTCTATATAATCCAAACAAGACTGCTCGTACCGGGGCAAAGCGCTGCTTTTTAATGTCCATGGAATAAGGTTTGCTTCGATCAAACTTTTTGGGGCAAAAAATCCGTCAAAAATAGCTAGAGAAAAAGTCGAAATTTGTCTGTGAAAAATCCACGACTAGCACAAGTATGCTGCCATCTTCGAAAGTCGGAGTAATAATGATTCAGTAGATGCTAGTGTATCACTTTTCCTTCACATATGAGGTGTAAGAGAAGTTTTTATTAGATTCAGTTTCCCCAAAGTTGTTATCAACAATTTGGAAAAAAAATTACTTGAAACACTGAAAGCTACCTTCGAAAAGTTCAAGTTTTGCCCTCAAACGAAGGTTCTGGTTTGTTTTATAACTTTAGAAAAAATGATGTTTTAAGTAATTCGTTTTTCTGTTTCAGAGGATTTAAATTTACAAGGATCTAGTAAATTTTTTTTTAATTTTATCCACGCTTAAATTTATGCAATTAATTTACTAGCTCAGTAAACTGAATCGGTAGTAATTTCCTTGGTCATTGAACCGAGGTAATTAACATTGTACTCAAAAAAGTATTCAGCGGCTTACTAAATTGATCAAGTTCTATCTAGAGTTATGATTTGAAAAATTTTAAGCCATAGCAAGAACCATTGTTTTTCAAATGAAGTTCCAAAGTTTTTTTGTAGTTTATACAACCATTTGTTTTGATTTTTTGTAATGAATCTTGTCCGCGTTCGTTTTCTGGTGCATTGGTTTGCTAACTTACCTCAAAATTTTTTATCACCTAAAATTGCCTGGAAAAATTGGGTTTTCCGAGCTGTTAATTTTTGCTTACAACAGTTTTTAGATAACATTTTTTGGGATGTTTAACTGCGTCATTTTTTGTGTCATGAGTCACCAATACTTGCTTCAAAACTGATGACAGAAAAATTTATTTATTATTTAGGAAAATATCATGTGTGTATTCAATTTTTCTTATGTCCCAACAGCGAATTATATCTACTTGAATAGAGCTAATATATAGAACATGTTTGCTTCCAGCCAGGGGCGGATTTAGGTTTTTATCGAGGAAGGGTCGAGTTTTCAAAAAAGTTTTAGAAGGTTTTGTCGACCTTTTTTTTGATCGACCAAAGGGGAATGGAGCGTCCCCCCTGAATCAGCCCTAGCTTCAAGCAATTATGAAAGTTTGCGGTGAGTAATATTGATGTGAATATTCACTCGCGCATTTTTAAAAATGAATAGCAAGATATGGGTGCGAAACTCTAATAATTGAAACGAATATAAGTCTACAATAAAAATATATGGCGACAGGCGATATTTGAGGACGATTAGGATGGCGGTGAAGATGAATCATGGCAAATAGATAGCAGGTTTCAGAGCAAGAACGAGATAGGTCAGAGTCATGGAATAAATAGTGATGTACGTGATAGCCATGATCTTGTCTATAGTCTCGGCAAGTTTCATCCAATCTGTTTTCAAGGGGCGCTTTCGAGAGTCCAGTTTTTCGAGTGAAATGCGAAGTTTATCCAGTGCTTCTGACAGAGAGTGCGATCTAACTTCGTTGTTTGCAAGGCTGTCGCTCTGAAACAGCGTCCTCTCAGTGGTCCCTTCAGAACTCTTCCTGCCAAAACTGTGATTGGTAGAAGCTTTTTCGTTTTTTAGTTCCCCTTCAAAGCTCGTTTTTCCGTTGGTCTGCTTTGAGCATATTCCTCCATTAGGAACACTGTCATTTGCTGAAAAATAATGCAGAAAATCAATTTGTCGTAATATAACTTTTATCGAGCTAGAATGGTATGCAGTACTCTACAAATTTTTGTTCCATTTTTTTGAGGAAATTTTCTGCACGGGTGGTTTTTTTTCCAGACAAGATCTAGTTTTCAATTACCGATTTTTGACGGAATATATTTATACAGTCTAAATAATTTCAATGCTTTGGGCTCAAAATCAACAATTCGCCTAAATTTTTCTAAGTTTTTATTAACGCGTCGCGTCGGCAGCAAACTAATTCGACTCAGAAATTATTTAAAAATGAGTTGAGGCTTGCTAATTTTCAAACGCCCTTAAATTTCAGGAAAAGTGATCACTGTGAAACATCTTTTTAAATTTGATCGTTTGAAATAATTCCGCAAAAGTTGGCTGGATAAAAAGTCGAACTTTTCTGGAAACTGAACAATCACCCCGAGCGGAAAAATTGGTCATTTTCTTTGCAAGTAGGAACAATTACGCTGAAATTGTGTAGTATACTCAATGGGGCATACCATAGAAAAGCTCAAGAATCAAATCAACACCCTCAATGATGAAGTCTTTGTGTATTGTAATTAAAAACCTTATTAACGTAAGCCTACAAATAGGCCTAGGAGCAATTTTATAGTTTTTACTCAGAATGGGAAAAACATTCATAAGTTTTTTATAGTTATTTTAGCAGTTTTATAGAAGAAGGACCAAATAAATTTACAAAAAGAAGGACCCATGCTTCGAGAAAACAACAGTACAATTAGAATAACAGTCCTAGTTTAAGTCCACAAAATTTATAGGTAGAAAACCGAATAACCCAGAAAATAACGATCAAGAAAGTGATGATGAAAATGGTCCGAACTGCCCTTTGAACGATTTTTCATAAAATTCAGATAGTTTTTAAAAACGAAATTGAAATGTTTAAGGAAAGACCTATTCCGCAAACTTAAAGCTTGATCAATCGTCAAAGCGTTTTGCCTCGAGCATAATTTTTGTGAATAAGTTTGACTGCTAGCGAGCTTATCCAGATCTTTTTTGTTTAGAAAAGGTGTTACTGCATTTTCAATTTTATCACTATATAATATTTTGCTTGAAAGCTTCAAAATTTCATATCGATGTAAGTTCTGTATTGAATATACATTAAGTTGAAACATAATTTTTTCTACTGAATTTTTTTTTTTATGAAACATTACCCGAATTGACCTACGACGTATTTTTTCTAGGTCAATTGTCTTAGTCTTACTAGCTGTTCTGTAAAGCAGAACACCATATTGAACTATTGGTTAGACGCAACTTTTGTATGCTCTTTCTAGTTGTTTTGAATTTAAGGTTTACCTTAATTAGTGAAAATTTTCGGAGAAATGACATAGTTTTTTCCTGAGTACTTCTATGTGCTCAACGTAGTTCAGTTTGCATTCTAAGCACATACCAAGTATTTAAAATTTGAAAACTATTCTATTTAATCCCCCTTTTTGTTGACTTTTTGATTTTTTTTACCTTTGTGAATTTAACCAGTTTAGTTTTGTCATTGTTAAGGGATAGCTTGTTTTCAATTAACCAATTGTTTAGGTCATGCAGTTCAGCATGCAGCGTTTCGTTGTCTGGTTTAATTATCAAAGCTGTATCGTCCGCGTAAATAATAGTGTGCAGGTGGTTGCAACACGTGTCAACGTATTAAAATCTTTCATGTAAATGATGAAGAGTAGGGGACCTAGCCAGTCAAGTATGCGTCCCACCCTCCCTACCTTGGCATAATTTTTTATGTATTTCCCTTTTGAATATTCGCATGCGCTCACTCCGGCAACTTTGACTGGATGGCAGGGCAGCTGAAAACGCTTTTGCATGACAAATGCACCCTTCGGGCGCACAAAACTGGACATGATGGTTTAACAAACCAACAAAAACTTTTAATTCCCGTCTTTTGAATTATTGCGAGTCTGATGCTCCTCTTCTGGGTACTAAAGGGCCCAAAAAACATCCTGCAAGATTGTGAACTCAAAATTGTTTTTAAAAAAAAACTTTTCATTTTGTTTCAGTTTTTTTTTGTAATAGTTTCAGCAGTTTTTTTATTTTTGCAAAAAATTATGAGCAATTGCGGCAGCTTACAATGCATGTTATTAGTTCAGGCTTTCTTGCTTGCTTTATGTCACCTAAGCTACTGAAGCTCATGTAGCACAGATTCAAATTCAAATTTCTCTTTTTTCCTACAATTTTCGGTAAAATTGCCAAATGAACAAATTATAGAACAAAAAACCCAAAAAAAAAGAAATTTTCAGTTCTTTTGCTTAAAACAACTTCAATTTTTTGAACGGGAAATTCATTTTCGATATCAAAATCCATTATTTTCAGCTAACAACCATAGATGACTGTCCTAAAAATGAAAATTCTAGTTTTCGCAAAAGCAAAAGAAATTTGTGCCAAACGGTTTAAAATATCACACCACATTTCTTAGGCACTATTAGAGATATCTTCTTGACCAATGCCAAAAAACTTATTGAATTAGAGAAAACTGAGAAAAAAAATCATTTTTTTGGTTCGTTGGGAAAAGGCCAAAAATGACCAAAACCCATCTTAAAAATAAAACCATCAAAAAATGGCATTAACAAACTACCATTAATTCCGGGGTCTAGCGTCGCAAGCAAAAAGAAAACAGGGAAACTCTAGCGGGGAGTCTTTGAGTATTTTTTTTAAAAAAAGTAGGAACGTTAAACTGGCCAAATGTTCCGAGGGGGCCCGACCCCCTCTCAATGGGTTTATTTAGCGTCGTGGGCACGTGCCTATCAAGAATATAACCTTGCGGAACTTCAAACTCAAAATTTTTGATTTCCGAGGTAAATAGCTCTATGAAAGTAAACTAACTTCTTTTGTTCGAACAGGATTTGTTTAGGTCATTAACTCTCCCTCTATTTCCCAAACTGTGAGGTTTTTTGAATAAGATAGAAGGCTCAACTGTTTTGAACGCTTTTTTTAATAAAAAAAAGCACATAAATTTTTTAGATTTGTTCTCCCAGTTGACTCAAAGGCTTTGAGATAGCTCTATTAGTGCATCAGAAATTCACAATTTTCGTCTGAAAGCAAACTGATTTGGCGTAAGGAGATTGAATTTTTCTAAGATGACCAGTTACGCAAGTATAGAGCAAGCGCTCAAAAAGTTTCTCTAGAGTACGAGACTTTGAAATGGGTCTGAAATTTCCCGGTCGTGAGAAAGCACAGTTTTTGTGGATTGGAGCGATTTTAACTTGAAAACATCGGTTAAATTGGAGTGCATTATGCAAAGGTTGAGGATGTTTGTTAGTGCTGGTGCAACAGCAAATTTCAGTTTCTTTAGAGCAAACAGAATAAACTCATCAGCGTCTGTGCAAAATTTCTCGGTAAAACAGTTTCTAATGTTAGATAATTCAATTTCACTTAATTATTTTCAGAAACAAAGAAATTGAGTTTTTGTTTAGAGCTATTACGTCTTTTCTTTATTTGAGACCCAACTGTTGCAAAGTTTTGATTGAATTTATCACAAATACTTCTAGGAGCCTTAGAGAATTTGGTTTTTTTTAATCTTTGCCGGTAAATTCCGAGCGAACATTTAAGAACTGCCTGCATTCGTTTTTTTATTGGCAATTGAATTTGTTTTCATAATTTTCTTTTTTAGCTTTTCTAAACATTTTTTTTGATTTCTTTGTTCACAAAAATTATCTTTAAACTCGTGGTGGTTAAGACGCATGTAATCATGGTAGAGCTTGTTTTTTTTTGTTTACAGAAGTTTTCAATTTTTATCCAGTTTTCTGATAGTTTTTCAGTGTCCGATTTTTCCGGAACGAACCCTAAGTTTTCGCAAGCCAACAACTCATCGAGTTTATTGCAAGTCGAGTTGCTGTTAATAAAGTCCCATCTTTTGCTTTATTTCTGGTTTTCTTGTTGTCGCAAAAAACCAGCCTCTCACATAAAACATTCAAAGCTCTACATGGATTTGGATTTCCTTCCACAGCATCAACTGAGGAGTTAGTTTCACATTTTACAGTAAAGTGATCACCTATTGGGGTTTTTGGTATTTCGACTGCACACATTTTGTTTTCATTGCTGTAAAAAACATCAATCAGTGATTCAGAAGTTTTTTTTGGAATGCTGCAAGTTTTTTAAGAAGCGTACACGCTCTCTCATGATTTTCGAAACATTTTTTTGGAGGGACTGGCAGAGCTGCGCGTCGAAAATTAAAAAACAACTAATCGTTTCATAGTGATTTTTTGTAGACAGTTTTCATGCCAAAAAAAAAGTTTTTCTAGGGCTATCAGGAAAATAAAAGTCTGGTAAAATTTAATATATAACACGCTGTCGTATTTTTGATGTGCTTCGATTGTATAGGTAAACAGAATTATGGTTCACAAAAATGGTGAACAAGCTTTAGAAGATGGTCACTGCTAATTAGATAAAATTTTGAAATTTTGAAATACAGGTTGAAGTAACTGAAGTGATGGAGAATTCTTGAAAGATACAGAAAAATATGGTTTGGTTAATTTTTTCGTGTTTGAATAAGGTTTGGTTAAATTTTCGTATTTGTGTTTGAATAAGCCTCAGGGTTTTGCTGATTTGAAAACCATTGATTAAGCAAAGTTAAATGAAACAAAACAAAAACGAAAAGACGGTTATATTTAGAGAAACTTTTTCTTTAGAAAGGAAAGGAAAACTGTTTTTGTCTTTTTTATGAAAATCCTTCTTTCGAGTAACTTCAACCTGCATTTCATTTTCTTCCATCTTTTGTTTTACTTCGCGGCAACCAACTTCTAAGTGTTGTTAACACTTTTTCGAGAATCATAATTATATCTCTGTATGACTACCTACACGTTCAGCTTTCCAATCCAAAATACCTCCCCAATAGTTTCTTGAAAGAATGAAACTTAATCATCTTTATTGTAACGCTTATTTTTTCATCAAGTTTTTCAGGCCCATTTTCAACTAAAGCTGAAATTTGTTTAATTTAAGCTGAAATTTTCCGAGGGGGGCCCTA